AAAAACGGAGGAAGGGTTTTTAAGTGTCAGTACGAGTTCTCGGCGGTAGACGCTTCATGTCGTGACAGTTTTTACGACACGATTTGTGCCGCATATTAATCAAACCCTGCGGCGCACGAAAGTCGGCGTCAACTACTGGAGTATGCATAAATTAGCAAATAATTTGAAATGTCTCCAAAATTTGTGGTCGGCTGATCCGCGCCGTCAGAACAGTTATCTCAATTTGCTCCATAGTAGCTGGGAACTGTCCATCGGAATGTGAAAATATACATACCGCGTGGATGTATGCTCTCGATTATAGGGCAATAAAGTTTTTTGAGTCTCCTTAAAAATCAAGCTACCCTTGAGAGACAAACTGTAACATTATGATTTTGGCTCGTCAACGCTTATTAAAATAAATCGATCTTGGCAATACTGATTTTTTTTATAACAGCAGGGTGGAAAAGATCCCTCTATTCCAGTCCAGAGTCCTTGAAACGGATCGGATGGCGAAAGGCGAATATGCAAGTAGAACAAGACGGTGACAATTACCTCGAACAATCCTAATTGCGACCAACTAGTCGCGAGACCATGGCTTAGTGGTAATGGCGGTACTCGATGAGTAACCTTATGTAGGTGGAGGCGAATCGGAAAACACGTTAGTCAATAATGGGCGGACACCGGTAGCCCGATAGATGAGAAATGGGTGCTAGGAGTACAGAAGTCTCCATCATCGAAGAGTTCGATGGGACCTAAAACGCACCAATGCGAAAGACCAGCCGGGTGTACTGACGCACTAAGAATAACCGCAATTTCAGTCGGCCGACCAAGACAATACCATACACACTAGGTAAGTATTATGACAGTGTCATGCTAACATAAGCCCCGGGCTAAATTCCACCTTACCTACTACTTTTCTATTTCTCTTTTCAGTCCCAGTACGTCAATTGTAAGATGAATAAAGCCCTGTTATAGGGTATTCTCGTTCTGACTCTTACAGCCATATTCGTTCGTCCTCTCCATCTCGTGTGCTTGCTACGGTCCTAACTACTACAATTTATTCATCTTACAATTCCAAAATGGATCGATTCCTTAAGCCGGAACGATTCGATGCCGATCCAAATGCTCAAGACGCTTCTAAACAGTGGAGTCATTGGTTTCGCACTTTTGAAAACTTCTTGTCCACGATCGATAATCTGAAACCGGATAAATTAAACGTCCTGACTAACTACGTTTCTCCGACAATCTGGGAATACATTAGTGAATGCTCCAGTTATAAAGAAGCTGTTAAATTGCTGCAAGGCCTCTACCTACGACCCAAAAACGAAATTTTCGCCCGCCATCTTCTGGCAACCTACAGACAGGAAGGCGGACAAACCCTTGACCAGTTTTCTCAGAAGCTGAAATCCTTAGCTAAGGACTGTGATTTCAAGGCCGTTACGGCAGAACAAAATCGCGACGATGCCATTAGAGATGCGTTTATCAGTGGCCTTTCATCAAACCAGATTCGGCAGAGGTTATTGGAACAGAAGACTTTGAACTTCCAAACTGCCTTTGATCTGGCAAGGTCACTGGAATTGGCAGAAAGACAGTCTCTATCGTATCAGAATCCCCCGACGACCTCATTCTCTGCCGCTACCAAGCCACGTGAAGCTTCATCGAGTCCCATTAAAGAGCCCGATCTAGTGGCTTCTACCTCATTCCATAGCAAATGTTTCTTTTGTGGATACGACAAACACCGCCGTTCTATGTGTCCCGCACGCGATGCGTTATGCAAAGGGTGCGGTAAGAAAGGGCACTTTCAAAAGGTGTGCCTAACATCACGAAACCGACAAG